AGGGTCACCAAGAGACAAATGAGGCAGAAGAAGACAATATCCTGCGAAAGAAGCTTAGTAATTATTTCAGGTATTTCAGATTTTTTTTGTCCGTTTTCTAGTGACAATAGTAGATTCTCATTCATATGGGAGTATGATCAGCTAGGAAGGATGGGGAAAAAGAGTTTACAGCTTGAAGAAGGTAACAAAATGAGCCACTGTTCTCAGCTTAGGTGCGCTGGTCATTTTTTGAGGGCTACACCATCAATCATGAGGTGACATTGTTCACTGTCTTTGTTCATCGATAGAAACCGGTGTTTATTGTTTTAGTACATCAGTAGTTAGCTCGTACCCATTGTAACAACAAATAGTGGTACATGCAAGAACTGATTATCTTGCTTCATAATTGTGCAAGGTCTAGCTGTTCACGGATTACATTAAATATATAATGGTCTTCTAGTACTGATATCTACTACTTTTTTAGTGACCGTTGGAATGTGCTTGACTTCATCATTCTTGTTTTCTACCTGATTACCTTCATACTACGCATAATTACATGGAGGAACTCCACGGACGTGTCAGACAACAGACTCTTGGCTGTGTCAGAGTATTTCTATGGATTTATCGCCATGTTTCTCACACTGAGAGCCTTTGGTCAAGTCATAGAGGGCGTGCGGGGAGTGGGTGCAATACAAATCGCTTTGTTCTTTGTTATCTGGGATGTAATGGCGATATTTTGGCAGTTTTTGGCAATTATTCTGGCATTTTCTCTGGCTATGACCAAGATATATGTTGCTGAGAAGGCCTCTACCTTAGGAAAAGATTCCGCGGAGGATTTGTGAGTACATGTTGCGATTTTTCTCAATCATCGAAACCGTGAACGACAGATTCTAAATTGTTGGGTCTCTTCATTTGTTACTCTTTTTAGTGATGGGGTGGAAGAGCTTTCCTTTAACGTTATGGAGGGAAACCTCATGTCTGTCTAGGCACCCATTGTAGGAAACAGTAGGCCATGGGAAGCCTAACAGGAGAGTAAAACTACTCAGATCAGAATATGAAATGTTGCATGAAAGACCAATTTTTTACAGTCTTTATGAATATTCACGCAGGAAATTTCAGAAACAGGCCTCAATAAATAAGTCAGTGCGTAGCTCAACCACTACACAAAAGGTTTAAGATCAAATTATGATAGCCTGTAACCCATTAACTATAATTATCGCTGGGTCAGTCGAAGTCATAAATTGTGAGGTCAGTGAGTTGCTATACACTGACTTTTGGTGCTTCTGGAAGTACCAAAATTTATGGGTCCAGGAATTTTAGTTAACAGTTTCTCTGGAGCAACACAACCGTGTAAAATAAAATTCGGAGGGAGGAGGAATGGTGGTGATGTAACTTTGACAATTCATGTTGGTTAAACCGTAAACTGTGGCAACGGTTTCCTTAACCATTCATTTTCTTCTATCATTTTTAGGGCATGCAGTGATTCCGGGCTAATTTGGTAAGAGTAAAACGGTTGTGTTTTTTTTTTCTACTCTAATTTTAACTTTGTACTCTGATGTCTGAAATATACCAGGTTACACGAAATTTTTGCTATACTTGAATTATTTAAAAACCTTTCAAGCGTGAAATTCTATACCTGAGGCGTCGGAAAAGTGAATTAAGGTCTCCCGAGAGGAAAAAAAGGGGAAAAAACCATACTGATGTGTTAAAATAAGTACTGTTGTTCAACCACGAGCTTTACCAGCTTCATCATAAAAATTTACAGGGAAGACGCTCTTTCCTTTCATGGCAGCAGATTTACTAGAACAAGAAGCAGAGCTGCGAGTGAAGAAACCCTCTTTGCTCCCCATCCCTCTCGCGGCTTCCCTTCCAGTTAATTAACGCTACTTCGCCAACTAATTATAAATCTGTTGAAAGGCCAGCCCAGCTATTAGTTTACCTTCTTAAGAGGTACCTTACGGTTTCTCCTTCTGGAAAAATCCAGACTTTAGTGTTGCTATTTCTTTTGACTAGTGATATCCCTCAGGTTTAAGGTTATCTTGTAATATTTTAGATACCAACACGTAAATGTGTTGATGTTTGACTTAATGGAGTTGACCAGGAATCTTGAGAACAAATTTTGTAATCGATGATCCATCTATGAGCAGTGACATGATGGCCTCTAGGACACAGACGTTTAAAAACATTTATTGCGGTCATGACGATCTCAATTTAAAAAATTGAGTGGTTTTTGCTCTTACTCGTTGCTTATGTTCTTCAGTTGGTGGAACATAGCGACACACCTTAGTTGGTCTTTACTGGGTTTAGCTGACCTGGATAGGTTGAATTCCGTCGACAATCCTTCCGTTTCCCTTGTTCATGTGCTGTACGGCTTCTTCTTAATCCTGGCAGTTGTTCTTCTCGTGAACATGATGATTGCGTTGCTCTCCAATACCTATCAGCAGGTTCAGGTACTAAACAGTCTCTCAGCCTTCGCTGATGGATAGTAATTCTGTTCATAATCCAGAGTTAAGAAAATATGAGAAGTTCTCGACTGTAAACTTGGTGGAACTTTTTTTGGCGTAAGATATAAAATATATTTTCTGCAAAGTTCAAAAGATTCTATGATTATCTGTAATTGTACTTTTGGCCAACTGACGCTTTAGACGAAAATGATGGTGAATATTGTCCCGTGGGTATGATATACTTCTTCCGCTGAAGGAGTGTCGCCTGTTGTTTTTATTAACCGGTACTTCCTTAGAAGCTGTTAAGTCCCTCTCATTCCTCTATTATCAGGATAATTCACTGCAGGAGTGGTCTTTCAAGAGAGCCATTACTGTAAGAACTTACAGCACCTATCACCCGATACCAGTGCCCTTCAACCTTTTGTCTGTCCCCCTGATAATACTCTGGAACCTATGTTGGCGCGACACTCCTGCTTCGCGCGAGGGCGGACGGGTAAGCTGCGGCCTTGCCAATTAGTTCTGTGAGTTTTAACAAGCTGCTGTTGTTTAAAGTTATCGTTCAAGTCTGCTCAGTGATTTTACTTTACTTTCGATGTGGCCTTCTTTGATTCGACAGAGAGTAGCTCTGAATAAAGTGGTGAAGAAACTAGAAAGGATGTACTTCGGGAAATACGGTTATGAATTTCCCCTCACAGGTGAGTGATGTGCTAGATTGGTAGATAGCCCCAGAAATCTATGATATGGTCATAAAAAAGAATGTGGCGCAAAGAGATGTTTTTCTACTAAACCTTGCTTTGCTATGATCAAAGCAATAGTTCTAAAGAAGTTTATACCATGACGGACAAGAAATAAAAAAATCACAAATGAAGAATTCCAGTAATGATAATCTATTTATAACGAGGCGTATCGTAATGATTTTGCTGACTAGATTCAGAAGAGGCCAATTTAATACTTCGTTCCTCGCTTTGTTTTAGAGGGGAAAAAGATGGATTACTTGGTGCAAGAAAATGAGGGAGGACGAAAATTGGCCAATCAGATAGTTCGGCAAGTATTCCGACCGCGTGGAAACAAGGAGGAAAAACTTGCGTCTGGTCACAGAGTGAGTGTTTTTGAGGTCCACATTCACATGTTATTTAAACAGGAAGTTTCCCTACCATATACTATGGATCTTGCTCCATCAGGATACACCTTTTTAACCATTTTAATTTGCATTTTAACCTTTTCCCTCGCACAAAAATTTAAATGTACGATTGAGAAAATCTTTCAAGAAACGTTCTGCTGTAGTTTCCTTGTTCCCTTGAAAAAAAACCGAACTTGTTTTGTAGTGACATAGAAAAGCTGATCTCAAATGCTTCACCGGGAAGTACAAAAAAGTCAACAAAATTTTCTCTCGACGCGCGATACGAAAATTAATGGGAGGGTTATAGCTTGAATAAAACCCCTTCTAGCTTGCTGGTATGTCGGCTGACAATGTCCCAGGTTGAGAGATTGTCTTTAAGTTTTCAAATTTCTCCTTGAAGCTTTGGTTCTTGGCCAAATATTCATTTTTGGACAATGTCTCAGCCGCAGACATTTTCAGGTGACATACCAGCCGCCTGAAGGGGTCCCTTGTGTTACTGAAGTTTTGTTCGATTGTCATTTTAAGGCGTGGTATGATTCGCCGGGAATTGCTGTCGATGGCTGTCTCCTAACTTACGTGGGACCAGATGTCTGCGGCATATGCAAAAGTGGAAATCGTAAGAACATTCACAGTGCCAAGTTCAAGTCTCCCTTTACACCAGAGACACCAAGATTCGAGGTGTGCTTTTGATTTATAGAAAATTATTTGCAAACAAAAAATTTAATTCATATACTTCCTGCTTCATGATAGATTCTCTGAAGATGCAACATAATTACATTGCCTTTTTACCCTCTTCTCTTAAATTACCTCCCTCTTGTTGGCGCTGGTATTCTTTTCTATTTTGTAGCACTACAGATACTAATGTTTTTAAGAATGAACTTAAAGGTGCCAGAAAGACCAGACCGGTTCCTGAAAAACATCTTTATGTTCCTCTTGTGGTATCCTATTTTCACCTTTGCTTTCATGGTAACGTGTCAACATGGATCGCGTTTGGGCACTTAACCCTGTAACACCTAAGAGTGACTATGATGTAATTTTTCCTCACATTATCATCCCTGAGTCGAACATTAGGGTCACATGGATAAAGTAAATGATCACCAACCGAAAAAGCTCTTCATTGTTTAAATAATTCTTCCTTATCAGCACAATTGTATAGAGTACAGCATGGAGAATATTCATAATGATGTTAGGGTATGAAAGGTTAAATTTATCTCCTTGCTCCACTTCGTTGAGGTGCATTTCAGGGTCAAGTTATAAGGCCTTAGATGGCCACCTTTGAATAGCGTGATGGTGCCTTCGTTCAGCCGAAATTCCTTTTTGGATTAATCGTTTATATTTATATTATTATTGTCGTTATTATTATTGCTTTGTAATCATCATCATTATTGCAGTTGTTATTATGGCTGCTTTTGTTGTTTATATGATCACTATTTCGGATGTTGGTTGTTTATATTATCACTAACATCGTCTTTATTATCGTTATTATTTTGCTTTGGTCTAAGAAACTAGTATTCCCTCGGTCTCATGAGCAAAAAAACTCATTTGCATACTGAAACAAAAATTAAAAACATGGGACTTATGGCAACCGTAACAACAAGGTCTAAAAAAAAGAGTCCGTCATTGTTTTCCAGGTACTTATTCAGGAGACTGGAGAGAGACGTATTGCGGCACTGGGTGCTGTGCATGAGTCGTACGACTGTCACAAAATGCCTGGCTGGGATAGTGGAACAGTCGGTTACCACGTAGACGATGGTAAAATATTTGAAACCGGCTTCCATGAGCTGGGAAGAGAAGTCGAAGGTATGGGTTACTCTGACGATAGGTGTACGATATCTGCCACAAGGATCTGTT